ACGTTTTCCCCATGATTTCCCCCGAGGCGTCCGTCGGCAAGGGCCCCGGGCCTGCGCGGCTTCTTGGGCGCCGGCGTGAAGCGCGTGTGGATCTTCTTCCTGCGAGGCATCACGCCGCTGCTCGAGCGATGGCTCGGCAACCTGCTCTCCCGCCAGTTCGAGGGAAGACACTCGAAGGGAGTCGCAAAGACGGTGACGAAGCAGCGTGTAGAAAGCCACTTTGATCTCGAGCTGAGAGCCTCGGTGAGTTGAGGGGAGGGGAGCGGGTGGAGGAGGATGGTGGGAGGAGAGGAGAAGGATGGTGGACCAAGCAGCACGTGGAAAGCCAACTTTTGAACCTGGAAGCCTCGAGGAGCTGCAAGTGAGTCTGTGAGGGACGTGGAGTTAGGAGCGGGGAGGCGTTATGTTAGGTGTTATGAGCTGTGGAGTTAGGAGCAGCTAGGGTATGTTGAGGTGTATGGAGTGTTGGAGTTTAGAGAGCAGGGTTATGTTGAGGTGATGTTATCGCGGGTGAGTTAGGAGGAGCAGGGTAATGTTAGGTGTTATGAGGGTGGAGTTAGAAGGAGCAGGGGTCATGGTATGTGTTATGAGGCGGGTGGAGTTACGGGAGCAGCGGTAGTTAGGGGGTTGATGAGTGTTGGAGTTAGGGAGGAGCAGGGTTATATGTTAGGTGTTATGAGGGTGAGTTAGGAGGAGCAGGTATGTTAGGTGTTATGAGGGTGGTGGAGTTACGGAGGAGCAGTAGGGTGTTTAGGTGTTATGAATGAGGCGTGCGAAGTTAGGGCAGGATGCAAGGTATGTTAGCGTGATTATGATCGTGAATTAGAGGAGCAGGGATATGTCTTAGCGTGTTATGAGGGTGGGATAGGAGGAGCAGGTATGTTAGGTGTTATGAGGTGGAATTAGGAGGGCAGGGTATGTTAGGTGTTATGAGCGCGCTGGAGGTAGAGGCGGGAGGCATGCTTTAGGTGTTTGAGGCGTGGAGTTAGGAGGGCAGGGTATGTTAGCGTTGTTATGAGTGTGGAGTTACGAGGAGCAGGGTAGTTTAGGTGTTATGCCAGGTGGAGATAGGAGGAGCAGCGGTATGTTAGTGCTTATGAGTGTTGGAGTTAGGAGCGAGCCGGGTCATGTTAGGTGTTATGGGGCAGGTGGAGATAGGAGAGCAGGGGTATGGGTAGGTGTTTCTGAGTGGAGTTAGGAGGAGCAGACGGTATGTTAGGTGTTATGCAGGTGGAGATAGGAGGAGGCAGGGTATGTTAGGTGTTTAGGAGGGTGGATTAGGAGGAGCAGGCGTTATGTTAGGTGTTATGATGGTGAGTTAGGAGGAGAGGGTATGTTAGGTTTGGTTATGATGTGGAGTTAGGCCAGGAGCAGGGTATTGTAGGTGTATCTGAGGAGTGGAGTTAGTGAGGAGCAGTATTTTAGTGTTTGAGGGCTTTGGATTATGAGGAGCAGGGTATGTTAGGTGATTTATGAGGGTGAGTTTGAGGAGTCAGCGGTATGTTAGTGTTATGATGGGTGGAGTTAGAGGAGCAGGGTATGTTAGTGTTATGAGGGTGAGTTAGGAGGAGCAGGGTATGTTAGTGTTATTGAGGCGTGGAGTTAGGAGGAGCAGGGTTGATGTTAGGTGTTATGAGTGTGGAGTAGACAGGAGCAGCTAAAAACGTTGCTTCCTCGTCGCAAATGTCGACACCCTGTTATTCGTGATCAACAGGTGGGACTCCTGGCTCGAACAATAGCACTTAGGGGAGAATATCAATGCTTGGTGAGTGGATCAGTAGATAGGTTGTCGTCAGAAGCACTGCGCTTCGCGACTAGTCGATATAAACACATCATTTCCACTCATACAGTAAAGAAACTAAATACGCACGCATGCACGCTTTCTCTTGAACGTTGACCAACCACTTATTCATGATCGACGGGGTACTCACCGCTTCTTCTGTGAAAGACGGAACACTCACCGCTCCTTCACGAACGTCAACCCACTACTTATTCATGAATGACGGGCCACTCACCGCTCCTTCACGAACGTCAACCCACTACTTATTCATGAAAGACGGAACACTCACCGCTCCTTCACGAACGTCAACCCACTACTTATTCATGAATGACGGGCCACTCACGGCTCACTCATGAAAGTTAACCCACAGCATCCTTTGTGAACGACGAAACAAACACTCACCGCTTCTTCTGTGACTTTGGAGGCTTTGTCTTCAGTGAGTTCAGCACGTAGTACTTCAGCAGCTTCTGGTAGGACACACGCACCTTCACCGGCTGCCCGGCGGGACAGTGCTCCCGGTACCTGCAACCAGAAGGCGCCACCGCAGCGCGTGCAGGTCAGTACTCAGCGTGTGAGTCGAAGTCCCCCCCACTCCCACCCCATGTTTAAAAGAAAGAATCTAAGAATCTACTTCCTAAGAATCGAGCTTACCATCGTTACCGACGAGCGTTGATGATCGAGTCACAAAAGTCGGCTATTATAAAACATGTATGTATAATAATTGGTATATATTAGAACGAGGGATCGGTGTACATCGAGATTTTTCGAGATACAATTTTTTTTACCGAGATGCGATTATCTTCGCAAAACTTCCGGCTTTTTTTAACGACACTCGAGTTTCGTACGGCTTGTAACAGCTGAGCACACACAAGCACACACCCTCTCCATCTCCCACCCCAGGGAAAATAATACAATTTATTTTTCGGGGGCTACTTTTCACGCTCGCGTGGATGAAAATAGCACTCTAAAATTTAGTTTGCATTGTTGAACTCTATGCAAATTTACGGGGGCTCTTTTTGTCATTTCCGGGGCTCTTTTTGGCATTTCGGTGGCTAAATCGCCCCGAACCCACGTGTATTTTTTTCACTGCCCCACCCCCACACGTACCAGGTCTTGACGAGCGGCACGTCGATGGCGCGGCGGGAGTGACCGCTGCGAAGGTTGAAAGGTCGCGGCGCCCACAGCAGCGCGATGCCGTTGGCACTGTTGTCCGTGTAGAGCGGGCTGTCCTGCAGGAACGGCTGCAGCTCCTCCGGAAGCTCAAAGTCCTCCACGTCATCCACGATCGGCTCCGTGCCCTGACGAGACAAGCGAACGTTCAGCGTCAGTGGAAAAAATACACGGGGGCTCGGGGCGATTTAGCCCCCGAAATGCTAACTAATACCCCGAACCATACGGCTTCCAACCAATCAAGATTACCCGCGTGTCGAGTGCCGCTTACGACACACATTTCATTCCGATTCATGACACCCCACACACGACGTCAGGGGCCCTCCCCTCCCACCCGTCAAACCACAAACCACATGCGTTCTAAGGGGGGAGCAGACTCCCGCTTACCTTGACGGCATGGCGGTGAGAGATCGGGTTGATCAGCGGATCGAAGTAGAACGCGGGCAGATCTGGATCCTCCGTCTTAATGAACACGACGCTCGGTGTGTGATACCTGCGGGAGAGATGCGCGTCGCCACGGCAACGCCACTTATTACTCAAATCGGAATTACGATTACATCGTTAATGAATCAGATCGACACTATTATATAATATTACACGCTATTTCAGGGTGTGAAATTAACTGGTAGTCATATGGACTACTAGATTTTGTAATCTGGTAGTCCGTGAGCAATTCTGGTAGTTCAAATGTTTTTTGGATAGAGGTTCAATTTGACTGTAATATTCCAGTTATTGCCATTTATAAAAACCTTGTGGTCTAAAGGAACACAATGATTTCTGGTCACAAAATGTTTCCTGATCTTCTGCGATAGATAGTTTTGCAAAAACGAGTGGTGCCCATCTACGTGAAAGCACAGCAACAAACATGGCTGCGCCCATGTCAATCAATTACTCAATGTGCTTGATATAGAATATCAGTTTTAAGTCATAGCTGACAATTAAAGGGGGTTAAGTTATTTAATGCGAGGTTATATCAGAACTTACCGGAAAAATAAATAAATTAACTCATCAGTTTATTCGTCCTTTCAGTCAAAAATGAATAGAGCCATGTTAAGTTAGCTAGACCACCGGACTAGTTCTTTACTGTAATCTACTCGTCCGTGTGTAAATCTAGTAGTTTTTGACTACCGGACTACCGTTAATTTTGCACCCTGCTATTCACTACTATATACTACTATAGCATGCTATTACTCGGTGTGGGAAATAGTCGCGAATAGATGAAAACGTGGTACTAGAAGCTTAGAAGAGAACATCCTCGGTTGGTGAGTGGATCAGTAGATAGGTTGTCGTCAGAAGTGCTAAGCTTCGCGACTAGTCGATATAAACACATCATTTCCACTTACAATAAAGAAACTAAATACGCACGCACGAACACCCACACACGCACGCACGAACACCCA